TTTACCCATCAATTTACCCATCAATTTACCCATCATCCATCCATCATCCATCATCCATCATCCATCATCCATTCATAAATCTCTCCTGATCTTGTTGCGTCTCAGGTTCGTTGGACCGACAGCAGCGCTGGGTTCCAGACTCAGATCAAACACCTGGTTGGGGACGTCCTCCTGTCCGCGGGCTTCCTCTCCTACGCCGGCCCCTTTAACCAGGAGTACCGCAGCCTGCTGCTGCAGCTGTGGAAGAAGGACATGGAGGAGAAACTCATCCCCTTCAGTTCTGTAAGACCTCTCAGACGAGACCTCAGTCGCCATCACCTGTCATCAATGACTTATCTATGTTTTATCTATGTAAAAAAACAGTTCATTGGTCAATATGTATTAGAACCAACATTTTAGTCGCAGATGTAAATGTTAACATAAAAAGTGATGAAGTTAAAAAACCTGTTCAGGAAATATTTGAAATGTCAGACAATGTGTTTCAGTGTAATGATGAATCTGCACTTTCTGCTACAGCAGTGAAAACCTCCTCTTTATAAGTGTCCACATGGTGGCGCTGTTGGATCAGCGCCAAACTTCACTGAAATTTGTTGAAACTGGTTTGTGTCATCCCCGACTTAAAGGGCTACAAACAAAACCTCATTAACACTTGAGTAAATGAAATCATGCTTCATCCTTTTTCACTGGGATGTGTACTCTGGTATTTATGGCAGGAAAAGAGCTTTTGCCTTGTTTTTTATCTTTACTTCAAAGTTATAAAATGTATGTAAAATGTTGTTAATAACTGTTAATGAGACTATAAACGATCGTGGCCAATAACTTGAGATAAGATTAAGGTAAACGCAGGTGTCATAACAGCAACATAGCAGCAAGTAAATTTACTCTTTAAAATACCAGGTTTCCCACAAGTCCTGGAAAACCTGGAAATTTAGAAACTAGTTTTCCAGTCATGAAACACCTAGGTTGTCCTAGAAAATTGTAATTGTATTTTACCCTGTGCTGTGGCCAAATTAATGCTACTGTGCTAATGTTAGAGGGAGACTGTAATATGATGCTTTACTGACTATAAACGTCATAATTACTAAATGTATTGGAGAGGAAGTGAAACAGGATGATGTAAAAAGATTGCTGGTGCAGATGTTGAAGACATTCCCCTCTCTCCTGCAGGACTTGAACGTGATTGGCCTGCTGGTGGACAACACCACGGTGAGCGAGTGGAACCTGCAGGGTTTACCCAGTGACGACCTGTCCATCCAAAACGGCATCGTGGTGACAAAGGCGTCCCGCTACCCGCTGCTGATAGACCCCCAGGGCCAGGGCAAGACCTGGATCCAGAACAGAGAGAGAGACCAGCAGCTACAGGTGAGGATGGTTGTTTTTTTAACACCCCGGTTCATAAATCTTCATGTGCCCCCTGGTGGTGAGAAGTATAAACAAACCAGAGACACAGGAAGTGAAGATCAGTTTGAGTGCTTTACTGATTGTCAGTTGTCTTCTTCTGTGTCCCAGGTGACGTCTCTGAATCATAAATATTTCCGTTCCCACCTGGAGGACAGTCTGTCTCTGGGGCGCCCCCTGCTGCTGGAGGACGTAGGGGAGGAACTGGACCCCGTCCTGGACAACATACTGGACAAAAACTACATCAAGTCTGGATCAACTTATAAAGTAGGACATCTGTGACATTTGTTATTGCTCCTACATTAATTTATTTCTCTATCTCTACATCTACATCTATATGTGTTATTATTTTATTTGAGTTAGTTGTGTTAGTAGTTTTTAGTTTTAGTTAACTATTAACTAACCTTAAATCACATACATATTATGGCATACAAGTTATTATATTTAATACAAATTTTTATTATTACACATGGAAAAACACAAGATGCTACATGTGAATTCATTCTGTATTATATATACATATTATTTAACAAAAGAAAACACAAACACAAAATGTTCCTCCTCCTCCT